TCTTCCAAAGGTAAATAGGGAATATTGGTTCTGCTGGGAAGCCCTGCAGGGCAGGACAGTGTCTCCCCCTCCCTGTAGCAGCCTGGTTGGTCAGATGCATTGGCAAGCCAAGGATAAGTTCCTGCTATCAGTAAAGGTCACAGCACTTAGAGCTGTAAAAGCCCTTTGTAAAGCAGAAACACAGAGCAGGCTGTCCCAGTAACCCAGCAAAAGGCACAGCAAGGAACCCGGATCTCCAGAGCAGGGCACTGAGGGACAGCGACACCGCTCAGCAACGGTGCTGGGGCAAGATCCAAACCCAGCCAGCTCCCACCTTGCTCCTCAGCACGGCTGGTTTATTTAGCTGAGCTGTTTTCAGCCCAGGGTTAACAGACACCTCAAGGTCAGTCCACAGACTACATCCAAAAGGTTGGCAAAAGCTGACAGAAAGGATACCACAAAGGAACCTTTGTGTGTGCAGCTTCTGAGGACCTTCCAGGACAGTTGTGGGGCCCAGAAATCAAAAGTCTGAATGTCACCGAGTTAGCTGCTGCCAGCAGACAAACAAGTCACAAGAGCTTAACAGAAACATGGGTTTCTACCTTTAGCTACAGATTTATTTTCTGACTCTGCCAGGCAATTCATCACCAGCGAAGTTTTGATTAGTGCTGGAGGGAAAAGGAGAATTTACAATCCAAATTCCAGCAGCTGCCGGCACACTCATTCATATGAACTTTGGAGAGCAACATTTCATTGAAACTCTCCATTTTACGAAGAAAGCTGGAGCAATTTCCTTGCAGGAAGAAGATGCTGCTGCAAGGAGACAGATGCTGCTCCTAATTTTCAGCAACGCTTTCACGTAAGACCAAAATATTTGGCACAAAACACCCAATTAAAGAAATGCCATCACTGATGGCAGATGGTCCCTCTCATCCCAGCCTGCTAACCTTGGGTGTAATCTGCTTGCAAACACAGCACGTGTGTGTTTTCCAGATGAGCAACCTTCATGTAAGTTTTCATTGCCCTTATTTCAGTTTGTTAACAAACACCATTGTTATGAGCAAACAGCCTGATTACAGTGTTATCCAGTGAACCCCACCCTTCCAGCAGCTGGAAATATCAGCAGAATGGCCTCTTCCCCTCCCCTACACCTCCTTAAAACACCTACTTTTAAGCTGCTCATACCATCAGGAGCCAGCTTTGGAAAAACCTGACTTAAGGCTGTGGCACTAAATTGCAGCAGGACTTTTGCTATGTAAAAGGCTTTGGGAAACAGTCCAGGCAGCAGGTTGCTCACCTTTTAACTTTAGAACAAACCAAATTCAATCACCTATTGATTTGCTCAGTACTTTTCCCCCAGCAGGAACTCCCCACGGATCCTCCTGTCAGTTTACTCAAGTGTAACTCTGTGAGTATGAAACCAGGACTTTCTTCAAGGAAGTTGCACTTGTATAAAACCCTTTGAACAAAGCCCTGCACTTGCCAAATAGCGGCTGCTCGTTATGAAAGAGAGTTTGTTTAACAAAACAAGTGGATACGTGTCCAACTGCCTTTCTCTTCCTCTCTGCTGGCTGAGGGACAGAATTCAGAGGAGGCCAAGACGACTGCTTTGCTCCCTGAAGTAGCAACATTCACTCAAACCTGGGACAGTGCTAACACAGGGCATTAAGGCTCATTCCAGGCATTTCAGAACTAGCCAGGTTTCCTAGACCCATCCCAAGGGGATTTGTAAAAAAAAAAAAATTATATTAAAATCACTTTTTTCTACTAATTCTCAGAGTCTCTCAGTAGAAATTATAAAACAGTGTCACAGATTTGCTTTTAAAAGATGCTCCCTTTCACCACCAGATGTGAATAGGCAGCATTTGGATGCTTTGAAGTGTTTTTCAGAGCAGCAAGGCAGGCTGGCCTTCCTGCACTTGTCAAACACACGGTGCCTGGCTCTTAACAAGCTTCCAAGAGCAAAACAATGATGTTCCCACTCTGTCAAGCACTGAAAACATGCAGGTGCAACTTGTTCCAGCTGGGGTTAGAACTTAACAGGCCACATTATCTTCATTTCAACCCTCATCCATATAAATCCTCCAGCCACTGGGAAATGCTCAGCATCTGGTCTTGGTTCATCTGAGTAAGTTACCCAGTATTTGTAGAGGGGAGGCAGTGGAAGGAACGATCATCACCAAGGAACAGCAAGAGGAGAGGTGGGGCTAGGACACAAAGTCTGCATGATGGGCATCAGGCTACATTCCCTACACCATAAAACATGAAGAAAACAAGTCTACATAAGGTGCTCACTCCACCTTAGGTACACAAAGGTTTTGAAATTCCACACTGCTGCAGATTGTCACTACTAATTTCCTCCAGTGGCCCAAATAATGGAGGTGATCTATGAAACCTCTGCAGCAACTGGGCTGTGGAAATAAAGACAACGGAATAAACTTCATAGTTTTTATTCTGCAAAGCAATATGCACATCTTACAAACACAAAATTAATCTAGGAGAGAAATGTCATTTCCAAATCAGCTATTAACCATCATGCAACAAGACAAGTGAAATGTAAGAACAAAACAAAACGAAACAGCCATCTTTAACCCTACAATCACCTGCAGAGGGTTGAAACCAAGGCTCAGATTTTCTATGTAATGCCAAAGAAAACGCAAAAGAAAACGGCAGCTTTCTAAGAACAAGAAAACACGTACAAATAGAATCAAAACTGATTCAAGTCATAGTTAAAAAGAAAAAAGAAAACAAAAAAAGGAAAGATCAATATGATCTGAACTTTAATATTAAGTTTTAACTCTTCTGTTTGGCTGCATTTAACTTTGTACACCGCGCCTAGGAACAATCCAATATTCCTCAGTATTACAGCACGTCCACCTGGTGGGACACTCTCACCTCTCTGCTGCAATACAGGGGTGCAAAGGGATAAACTAAGGCCAAAAATACAACTCTCTAACATCTTCCCTTTTGCATTTGTGGGTCACAATCTTAGTACTTCTGGGGGCTTCAATACAGTGGGTGAGAAGTTTTCGAGGAGGTTCCTTTAACTGCCAACTAGCAAAACCAGATTAAAAAACCAAATCTCTTTTCCCCAGCAGACCAAATTCCAGTTTGGACATTTGGAGTTTGATTCTTAATTTTGTGAAAGGGAAAGCATTTGGCTTTGCTTTTCTAAAGGAGTCACATTACACTGGATGTTTTCTAGGTATTTCCAGAAATACCTCCCCCCCCAATCCATTTCCTATTTCCTATTTCCTGCCTTTGGTCCCCAGATCAAGCCACCCTTGTAGGCAACTCTCAAAGTCAGTATTAACACAGAAGGCTGGGCATGGGTGAATTAGGAACTGTTTTCAGGAGAAGCTGTCTACCTGTTTGACTCCTCTGACTCGTTTCAGGGAAGCAGCATTAGCCCATAGCAGCATCAGGAGAAAACTGGAAGCTTCGTTTTGTCCCTAGACTTCAAACTAGGCCATGTCTAAAGCTCTGCCTTAACATCCCTGGAGAAAACATGTTAGTTAATACCACTTAAGTAACTGAAACTCTATAAGGAAACATGTTCTGAGGAAAACTGTGACTCTTTCGCTTCAAACACTTTTAAGACTCGTGAAGTCACTGAAGTCCCACACACACAGCCCAGTGGATACCAATCAATGGTGTCTGTAGGTAACAAACTGAGAATTTTATGCCAGCATAGTTGAGACTATGAGATTCTGAGTTGGCTTTTTTCTTTTGTGTAGTTTAGAGCAGAAGGAGGAGGAAAAAAAAGCCTGTGGGTATGAACGCAGACCTGTTACACTGATGAGAAAGCTGAGAGACGATGAAAGGTCAATTAAGGCAACCAGTGAGATTTTAAAAGCAGTGGTGGAAATGTCTGCAGGAAGACCCTGACTCCTGAAATCAAGGAGGCTACTCAATAAGGAACCAGAAAGAAAAACAGCAAAAGGCAGAATGGGAAAGGGAAGAAATGCACAGAATAAAACCTCGGATTTAAGAATGGACACAGAGAACAGAAAGTGTTTGACTGTGTGGTTTCTTTGACCTTAATCACTACTTTTCTTGTCATTTTCCCCTGAGTGGACAGCATTAAATGGGAATGGGACAAAGCCAATCAAAGGGGCATTTTAGCTGCCCTTCAGAGATGGATGGAGAGTCCCAAAGTGAAGCTCTGTAACAGACTATGGGATTTCTTTTCCTTTCATTATTTGCACTTGCCCAAGGCTGTGCAGAGCCCCGACAGACTGTTAATACAATACATCTTTTTATTAAGTTTCACTTTCTAGAAAAAAAAAAAAAAAAGAAGAAGTTTACAGAAAGCTGCTCTGCAGCAGAGACACACAATCCTGGCTTGAGGGCTGCGGATGGGAGGCCAAGTGGAAAGTTTTCCAGATAGTCTCTGTGCTGACTGGTTCTCTGGCATTCAGCAAGCCAAATGAAAAAAACAAAAAAAAAAAACCCAAAAAATAAATTACAAAAAAAAAATCAATCAGTACTTTTCAGTAAGAAACATTTTAAAATGGGACTTCACTTCTTAATTTTTTTACTATGAATAAAAGCACAAGTTTGTCCTAAATACAGCACTATTAAAATGTGAATATGTGTTTCTTTTTTTTTTTTTTTTCCAAAAAAAAGAAAAAGAAAAAAAATTCTAAAATGTTGATATCTTTTCTTGCAAGCAAGGAGCAAATGGAAGAAAGTATTAGGCCACACAAATACACATTTAAGTCATGTAGTAGATTGGTGGCTTTGGAAATGCAGTATTATATCAAAGGTGCATACTGTTTCAAACACACTGTACATATTGGGCAAAAAAAAAAAAAAAACCAAAGATCTCTTGGTTTGTTTGAGACACTTGCAAAGGCATCTTAACCTGCCCAGATGCAGCTAGACAAAAATATCTTGCTCTGACTATAAGTAGCCATATCACTAAACATATCTACACAAACATTCCGCTATGTCCACAGGGAAAGACTGAAGGTGTCCGGCCGCACTACGATGCGGAACAAGTGCATCCTCTGACCTAGTCTGAATATACTTTTATAAATATGTACAAATCAATTACAGGCACTTGAAATGTCTTTGGTTGGAATAAACCAACATTGCAAGATAATGTATTCACAGAGTGTCAAGACCCATTCTGGGTTCAGCAGGCAATGATTACGGTTCTCAGTCGTTCTCGGTAAAAGGAGAGGATGGATTATGCTTCTGACAAAGCAACCTAAACAAAAGAGAAAGAAAACATTTAATTAAAGGCAAGTTCTTAATCCTGTTACAGTGATATTACTTATCTCTGTGCAGCTGGCATATCTGTGCTTGCCTTTTCAAAGAACCTTGGGAAGTCTAACTTGGAAAGGAAATCAAAGCAAGTCTGAAGGTGTTTTGTACTCAGCATAATCAATAAAATTAAAAAACTCAAACCATTCAAACCCAAAAAACCAAACCAGCTTATTCTACAAAACATCATTAAGATCAAAAGGTGTCAACAATGGCTTTCTACTTCACAAGTTAATAAATTTAATATTTAATCCTTCAAGCAAAGTGCAAATCCTCCAATGCACTACTGAACAATGACTGCTTCAATAGCTTTGTTATTGTTTTTAATTAAATTCTGATTAACAACCATTAGAAGTATGTATCATGTTTTAGTCAAAGTTTTCAGCCTGTTGTGATAAAAGATAAATAGAACTACTCAATGCCATCAATTCAGTGCTTCACACAAAACAGTTCAAGTAACATCAGAATTATGGCAGAAGAGCTGCAGCCCTGCACTTACTGAGCTGCAATAATCCACTTCTGTGGGACAGAAACCTAATTCTTAGGATGTACAAAGCACATATACGCCTTTTGTAGCACCCACCTATACTGTCCACAATGAAACACCCATGTCTCTTTGGAAGGCCATTAAATCTACATCTCCAGAGACAAAAAAAAACCAGTCTGTCCTGTGTAAAAAACATCTTCTGTGTTTTCTTATCAGAGTCAATATTTTGGTACCACCCAGACTCACCTTTTCAGAGCAGAATTCTGTATTGCTTTGCCTCAGTTTGCTTGGTCTGCCTTTAATAACTGCATAGCAGAACATTGTAATCACCATCACAAAAAGGAAGTAACTGGTGTGCATGAGATGCAGGTTTATTAGGGAGCGATCATCCTGCACAGAGAATTAAAACCATTTACTGACAGAGCACCAAAGGTTGGCATTTTATATTAAAGTAATAATTATCAGATCAACACGGAAATTACTTCATGAATCAAGTTTCCCCCCTTTATGCAGCTGGTGTAGTAATGAAAGTGATTCCTAATTGTGGCACAAAGAGCCAAAATGTTCCTTGTGTTAAAAACCTGTGTTATAGATCTTTTCCCAAATACTGGCAGAGGCTTTTAAATGATTTCAAAATATAAATGTTTGTTATTAAGAGCTGTGAGGCACATGGAGGTTACATGAAGACCATCACTGGGGGCAGAGCATTCCCAGCTCTGTCTCAGCCCTGCATAATAAACCAGCACTGAACACGCCTATTTTAGGACGTGAACAGAACCACATTCAATTAAAACAGAGCTAAGCATTTATCCAAAATAACACATAGAAACACCCCAGCACTTACATCTGGAACTATAACAGTTAGTTTGGGATTTAAAGCATGATACACTTTTCCGATTGCTCCTTTGTAACACCAGAAAGGGTTGTAATCTTGTGCATATTTGGTGTTAGAGTCCCTTGCTGTGGTGAAGATCTTGTACCACAGGGTAGCATTGCTGTATGTTTCAGGAACACAATGTGGTGGCTGACTGCAGAAAAAACAGAAATAATTAGCCCCCTGAGCACATTCTCCATGTTCAGTAAGGACAACTTTTACTGCCCTCTCAAAACCCAGTTTTAATTTGGACCTTCCAAAACAACAGCAAAACCCAAAGCCTAACCAAAAGGGTCTGTAAAAACCATATGATTCCCATACTAAGATTAGACTTTAACTGCATGTTGTTCCAGTAAGTCAACATCCCACAGCTTAATTGGGAAAACACTGGTTTTCATAAGGCTTCACACATGTTAATCTATCTGGGGGTTCTCCAGGTTGGGTTGAACAGCGTCAGGGAATCCAGACAAGACAAAGGGAAACTATTTTATGGAAGGTCTGTACCTGCTGGGGCAGGGGCAGCACAACAGCATTTTGCTGATTTCTCAGCAGGGAAGAGGATAAGAACCTTAGGGTCAAATCTTATCTCTCACCCAAGGCAGTGACATTAAATTATAGGGTATCTTTCTTAAATCTCCACGGATTGTTTTGCTCCCAGTGAAGTTTAGGTAGCATGTTGAAAGGCATGTTTAAAAAACATGCTATGGTTTAAAACACCCTCAGAAAAATCTAGTGCTGCTAAAAGACAGCAGAAGTTCCAAGACAAATGTTTTACTGTGGGGGAAGGAGGGAAGGTACATAATTTCCACGGTCAACAGGAATGTTCATCAGGAACTAACATCCTCAGAGAACCAGCTGAGGAATTAATCACCCAGGAACCAGTCTGGGAAGGAGTGTTTAAAAAGCACTTACACTGTGACAGGAAATACATTGCTGGCTGCTGTCACAGTCATGCAGGTTGTGAACACGACCTGCTCGCAGTGGCCATGAAGAACACAGTCATCTGAATTCCAGGCAGCTGGCAGGGTGAATGTAATATTTATTTCCTCATGGGATTCTCTGCCTTTGAGAAAGAGAGAAGGAAAGCTGGTTTTCGTTCACAAAAGTATCTGAGCAACAATCACCAGGATAAGGACAACACACAAACGACTAAGGCAGCAACCACCACCCTGAATCTGTACCTTTGAAGTCATCCCGGATCTTTACTAGCAACAAAGAGAGCAAAAACAAAGTTAAAAACCAAAACAAACTACAAAAACCCCAGCTGCTGATCTTTCTAATCTCTCCTGCCCCAGAAGAACTGGGGTCACTAAGCTCCTTTCAGAAATTAAAAACTATTTATAAGTGAACTCCTGCATGTTTCAGAGAACTTTATTAGAAAGTAAAATCTTTAGATCTTTAGCCTTTCTCCTCTTAAAAACTTTGTTCCACATTTGTTTTTTCTGATGCTCACTTTTCAAACTGGAGGTATCTGTGTAGACAAAAAGGTACCAGCAGACACTGGACTGCAAATAAAGTCAGGTACAATAACTCCACGTGGATATATTCAGACTCAAAATAAATCCAGGCTGCTGGAAATGGAACTTGCATTTGATAGCTCTTAAAGCAGCAACAAAATAACAACAGGAAACACAATAATATAGATTTGCAGCTATGGGCAATGTCTCTTCACAGGTCTCTCAGGTTCAAGACTCCTTCAGGGATTATTATAAAATGCAACCCTGGTTAAAAGCTAAAATTCAGTGAGGTTCTATTATCAATTTCCACTAATTTTCTAAAAACTCCTGTCAAAACTTACTGGTAGGCAGCCACACAGCAGACTGGTCATTCCCCACCACAGAAACTGTAATCATCTTATCTGTTGCTGTTTGTGATATTAAAGCTTATTCACATATGTATTTTAGATAAACCACAGTTTTTTAGACAACATGATACTTGCTCTCTAATGTATATTTGTCACTGCCTTTAAAATGTCAGTTAAGGACCTGAAGATGTATCAAGACAGATCTGAATACAGTCACTTTACAAGCTTTTGCTGTTTGGAATTCTGTTGGCTTAAAAATCACCTTCCATTGTCATTAGGTTAATCATTTAAAACTGCAAAGACTGATCTGGGTCCATCTGCAGGTTCTTTGCCACTCTGAATGCAGGGAAGAGTTCTTCTAACAAACAAGTAAAGGGCTCTACACAGGAATATACTCACAACAAATCTGGGAACACATATCTGTTGTACACAAAAGATTTATATACCAATAATTAGCTGGTGAACTTTTATTTGATTATACAGTTAGCATTCAAATGATAGAAGCATTTAAATCACAGAATAGTTTGGATTGGAAGGGAAGATTCAACTCATTCCACGCCCCTGCCTTGGGCAGGGAACCTTCCACTATCCCAGGTTGCTCCAAGCCCTGTCCAACCTGGCCTTGGACACTTCCAGGGATGGGGCAGCTACAGCTTCTCTGGGCAACCTGTGCCAGGGCCTCACCACCCTCACAGGGAAGAATTTCTTCCCTAATATCCAATCTAAACCTACTTTCTTTCACCCTGAAGCCAATCCCTCTTGAAATGAAAAAACCTCTAAGAGCCAACTATAAACTGAATTTTTAAAGGTCCAGTCTTGCATACCTGAAAGTCCAATTTGGTGCCCAAAAATTGTGGAGCTCAGATGTGTGACATTGCGAGAATATCCTCCAAATGGTCTGAGTGGGTCCAGGGTCAGTGTGATGGTAACTGAGATGTTTATTGGGCCAGAGTCCTCCAGAGTCTGTGGGGACTGTGTGGAAGATCTCGCCTGTCCACTGGTCACGGTGCTCTCTGGAGTTGTGGTATCGTTGATGAGATGCTTCAAGGTTTCATTCTCAGATATACAGAAGTCCAAATCATTAAACCTCAGGAGGAAAGTATTCCAGTCCTTAAAACAAACACAGAGATTTCAACCAGATTAGCCAGTTTCTGCTGGCTGCCACCTCTGGGGAGCTGTGCACGCCTTGAGAGGCACCATCCTGCCCTGTTCCAAGCCATTTAACAAAAATTACACGGCTCACAAAGCAAGCACAAACACCACCAGGGCTGTCTCAACAACGGGGCAAGCTGTTTACAGAAGTCAGATGTGTTCAATCCCAGCCACTGCCTGACCACAGCTCAGCACAGCATCCTCTGAACTACAAAGGGAACATCCCAACTCGGTCTGTTCCCACCGTGCCCGGGGTAGGAGCGGTTTCTGGCGAGGTTTCCCTCATTACAGAACAGTCCTGCTAGGTAAGGAGTTCCCCAAAACAGCCAGCTGGGCCAACAGAGCAAGAAACAGAAAGGTTTCTAGACATAGTAGGGAAGATCCATGACAGATGATTTGGGCTCATCCTCGAAATAAAACAAGACTGCCAAACATTGACACCAACAGCCTCTCCCCTATGAAATGAGAGGCAAGTATAAATGAAGACAATCTCCCACAAGACTCTGTGCTCTCCCATAATGTTCTGATTCTGGCCAGGACAGGGGTAATTTTTTGCAGGAGCTGAGTTATGCTACACCACCTCACATCATTGGTGGGGGAAAGAGTGTTCCTTCCAGCTGAGAAAACATGGTGGAGGGAGCTGTCCAGTGTTGTCTATTCTCGGGAATGTCAGTCCATGTAAATAATTTCTTTTCTTACACCTTTTGTCATTGATATTGTTGCTGTTACTGTTTGTTTTGCTATGTCATTGCTGTTTCCAGTAAACTGTTCTTATTTCAACCTGTGATCTTTGCCTTTTGTGCTTCCAGCTGGAGAGGGGGAGCAGGGAACACTCAGTGGGGGCACTGAACATTCCTAAACCACAACACAAGACAGAGTTCTTGGAGGGGAAAAAATAATCCACTGCTTAGCTCAGGAACTTTTTGTACCTACCTCTGTCATTTCTGGTGACTTGATCTCCTTGATTTTGAAGAAATAACCCAGTGTCAGGAAAGCTATTGCCATAGCACTGACACTGATCATAAAGACCACGAGCGGAGGTCGGCTGCTGATGTAAACCTTCAGGTTCTCCAACAGGTTTATGTAGAACATTATTCTGATTGTTCACCTGAAAAGAAAGAATATTACAACAGAGTGACTGGGCTGTGTGCTACAGTGTGGAGGGGCTGGCAGATCACACCAGACAAAAGTTTGACGACAAGAAATGGAATCATACGCCGAAGTGAGATTCAGTTATACGACTGCACTGCTCACTGAACACTGTGAGCCTTAAATACAGCATAAATCAAAACATGCTCGACATCACCTTCTCAGCACCTGAAATTGCCAGCTGGGAACAGACTTTAAGAAATGAGGAGAACTTCCAGCACAGCCCAGTATCACTGATAAGAAATAAACTCAGATCTTTCCTTTCCCCACACCCCGAGGCAGGATATACATACACTGTTACACTTGAATTCCAGTGAGGTTTGGATTCACCAAATTACAGTGTGGACAGAGTTGTAACACAGCCCACAGGTCAAACCTTGTACATCCTTTCAAAACTGAGGCTGGAGCCTTAAGGATCCCTCTTTACACCATCCTTAGCCCCAAATGCCTCTACTTTCAAAACAGGATCTGAGAAGCATTTTAGGCTTCTGCATCAAGAATCCTGAGGTCAGAAACACCTAAGAACTGCACTAGGGTGGAGGTTGGAAGACTCTATTTGATTCTTGCAGGATCTAGAACTTTTGCTAGAGTCTGGAAGCAAAGACAGACTTACACATGCTGAGGAAATGTACTGCATCATTAATTTTTGTCCAAAATATAATATTTTGTCTGATTCCACTCCTGAATTTTCACTTACAGAGCAGAAAGACCCAAATTAACTTTACTGTATCAACTTCCCCATCTCCACTCAAAAGGAAAAGCAAACAGTCCAGTGTTAAAGGGCAGTCTTGTGACATCTACTTGAGAAGGTCTGCAAGGAGTTACTTCAAGCCAACCTCTTACCTATGTCATACCTAAAATCCTGGCTGAAAAGGCTTTTAACCCCAACTGAACTAGAAAGGCAGTAACTGTTCCTACCAATGTGCTGCCTATCTCCAAAATTCATAGGGAAAGGCCAACTTCAGGACCAGCATCTTAGAGAATTCCACACTGCTAGAGTTAATGTTTGAGCATCCATACAGGTCTGGTAACATTTAATTAAGTCAGGGACTCTGCTCCCTGCAGGTCTGGGTGATCCTCACTGACTCTTATTAAAAGCACACAGTTGTCATTTAGAATCCAGGTGTAGCAGGGCTGAGGATGAGAGGGACAGGTTTTGAGAAACAGGGCAAGGGAGGGAGTGATCTTTGATCTGATCTATTGATTTAAAAGAAAACAAAAGAAGGGTAAAGGACAAGCATTGAAACAAAGCCTTTTTCAGATCCTTCAGTATACAATGATCACAACTTCCTTGTGTATACTCAGGATTTTACTGGCAGAAATGCTCCCAGCTCCCATTAGTATTAACAGAAGAAATACTGACAAAACCTGCAAAACTGCCCCAGAGAGAGGGAAAAATTCAGCTCACAGAGAAGAGCCCCGAGGTCCTGCAACAATAACACAACACTGAGTTGTGCCTGCTGCCTCTCCCCACACACCTACTTGCTCTCCTGGGTGAAACCTGCTGAGACAGTGCTCTGCAGAGCACAAGACCACGTCCTGGGTTTACTATTTTGCACCATCAACCCATTTTCATCCACTCTGCAAAGACCAGGAAAGCCAGCAAGTTTTTATCAGGGAGAACAACCGGGTGCTGCAAACACCTCTCCAAAAACAACGTGTGTCTCTGAGTGAGAGCACAGTGCAGGGGAAGGGGGGGAAGGAGAGAGGAAAGAAAAGGTGATGATAAATGTGCACCTTACCAGAACTCCTCTCTTTGTCCCAGACCAGCTGTGCCACGGCCAAACAGGCCAGTGAAGGTGTCAGAAGGCAGGAATGAGAGGGGAAGGGAGAGCTGGTGCTGGCAGGGATCATGCTGGGGACGATCCGCCCTCCCGCACGTTCTGCCTGTCTTGTCCCTGGCAGCAAATTTCTTAAATGAGCCCTAGTTAAAAATCCCAAACACTCCATCTAGAAACATTGGAGACACATGTTGAGATGGAAAAAGATCAAAAGATAAACCAAAAGCAGAGTTGTATTCAGTGCTCCCTTCTGAATTGCCTTTTGAAAACACCACAGATGCAGGGTTTATTGCAGCATTTAATCAGAGCTGAGTGTCACTCACAGCATATACAGGGCTGTGAGTCCTTTTTAAAGGGGCTTCCAGCAGCTCCATTAGCATGTTTGTTTACCACAGGGCCTAAATTCAGCCATAAAACGGGATGTGCTGAAAAGCACACGCAGGAAAATATTTGGGCTAATATTTTTATGTAAGAGATCACCGGCTTTTAAGTGCCAGTTGCTTAATATGCTCCCATAACTCAACGGCTTTGAAAGCAATTAGAAAATGCTATAAGCCTCAATTTCCGAGGCCTAATATGCCTTTTGAGCATTTGTGAGAGAAAAGGGAACAACTGTGGATTTCAATACTAGAGCTGACATGAAAACAGCAATTGGATGTGGCTGGTGCAAACCAGAATGACAAACGTTTCCACGCTGCTGCCCAAAGAGCTACTGATTTTTTATCAAAGTACTTAAATAACATTAATTATTAAAGAATTTGTGAACCAGATCACTGCAGGTACATCTAAATGTATATTCCCACTAGATTTTAGGGCTTTCTTAACCTCCTCCTTTCTCTTAGGACCCGTGAGAATCACAACACAAACACAATTCTTTTACCAGCTCCAGCTGTAACTAACTCCCTCCTCTGTGTAAACGAATAACTTAAGGACTATGATTTAGACCTTTATTTCTTCTTCACACAGTTAAAAAAAAGAAACCCAATGCTATTACCTCCTGGCAGGTCAGGCAAGCAAGATCAGATTTCACTTTTTAGCCAAATAAATAATTTAGTGAGTGGCTCTAATGACTCTGCTGCCTCTCCCTACTCTGGCTAAGCTTTTTAATACTTGTAAGGCTGACTGGGGAGATTTTTACTGCACAAGTAGCTCAAGTACAACGGGAAGAATGAAAACTGCCAGCCTGGAACATTGGCCACCAGCTCCAAAGTAATTGCTGGGTAGTGAAGGGTGTTCATCGGGACCAAATGCAGAGTTACAGCTGATGGAACTCACTGGGAAACCCTGGACAAGCCCTGGAGATGCTCTGAAATCAGGCCCCACAAAGCCTGGAAATTCTGTTATACAGGTGAAGAGATACAAATGGAAAAGGATAGGATGGAAATATAACAGTTAATCTACCAGAGTCCCAGGGAAACAGAGATTTGGGCAGCTGTCTAAAAAGCAAGAAAATAGTCACGTATTCTGCAATTCGGGGAATTTCCCTCCGGTACAGCTCAAGATCACAGACAGCAACCTCAAAGGAATAACATTTGTAATTCCTCCTTATTTATATATGAAAAAAGGAAACTGCTGAAACAGACAGATGAGTTTTTTTGAGAATAAATTACAAATAAGGAAAATCTTGAAGTCTGTTGCAAAGACCAAAAAGTCAATGAAATGAGTCACAGCTGAAGTATTAAATTCCCATTTCAGAGCTTAATATCAAAGGAACTGAATTCCTAACAACAATAAAAAAATGTATGCTGTACTAAAGCAGATATTAAAAGCAAAATTGCAGTTGCCAAAAGGAAAAAAAACCCACCCAAACATGAATTTTAAAGAGATCAAAATTGTTTGACATTTTTTACCTGTATCTTACCATAATGTCAACTACCATCTTCCCACTAGAAAGCTTAAGATGATGGAATTTCCTTATAAATAATTCCCATTCTTGTTGTGCATGTAAAGATATTCAGTCTAGAGGAAGGGTTTAAATACAAAACCACCACTGAAATATCTTAAGGAAGAAAACTGTGGGTGGAAGGGAAGGGCACAGGCAGCACTGCCCCATGAAGACCTTGTATGTTTTCCAAGCCTGAACATCTCACTGCACAGAACAGAGTTTAATCTGAGCTGTGCAGCTCAGTTTATTTATAAATCAATTAGGTTTTCAAAGCTGCCCCATTACCAGCAGTACAATGGGGTTAGGAAATGGGTCACATCAGGGTTAACCACTTTGAATGAAAATAATGTTGCTGCCAGAAAAATATTTACTAACACAAATCAATCCAAGGGTGATTTTCTTAGCAAACCATCCCTAAATAACATGCAAACAAAGCAGTGCTGTTCATCTCAAATTAAAGTGCCACTCATTTCAGAGCACTAAACAGCAGCAGGTACCAAAATTACCTTTAATTTTGTTTTCTTCTCTTCAAATCGAACTTGGTACCCAACACCGAAAAGAGTGAAGCAGAACAAATCCCAGGTGTGTGAGCTGGGAAGTTGGGGTTGGAGCTGGGATAAACAAATGACATGGACATGGGATTAAAGGCACCCTCAGCAAGTCTGGCAATGACACCAAGCCGTGTGGAGGGAAGGGATCCCATCCAGGGGGATCTGGAGAGGTGGGGCTCATGAGGTCCAACAAGGCCAAGTGCAAGATTTACTTTACCATACTGCTATCTGTGGGGAAATCCTTTTAGAAAGCAGATAAAGACCATGTGGGATGAAACTGTACAGCCTAAAATCTCTGTCAGCAGCAGAAGGGCAGGCAGGAAGGAGGAATTCATCCTAGAGGAACAAAAGGAGGGGAATCCTCCAGAGCAGAGCACTACCTCTGTCCAGCTGAGCCTCTTCTCCTTCTCCTGTTCTTCACTGCTAAAAAAATACACCAAAGTAAACAACCTCTCAGTAAATGCCACTGGACTTCTCCACAACACAGAGGAAGAGAAGTGACTGGGGTGTGTGGAGGAGGGTGAAACCTGCTGAAAACATCACCTTGGATTCTTGAATCCACTGCAACCGAACACAACCAAAAGATCTGCAGCCAGATGTGCACAAACACATCTCCTCCCCCAGGACTGCTCCAGGAGAAAGCTCCTGAGTGGGAGATAACAGAGGATTGGCTCAAACCAGACAGTGGCTTATCAGTTTTCTGAGCTATTTTATTCTACAAATAAAATTCTCCATATTTCCCTACAGCCTGGAAGCAGAAATTGTGGCAGAAAAACGGCCTGGCCCTTTGCATATGCAAAAAGCACAGGCAGAGGACACTGAACAGGGCAGAACAAGAGTGAGAATGTCACCTGTTGAAAAGGACATTCCTTCCTGGTGTTATTCTGATAAAAAATAAATAGGGAAGCGGATTATTAACAAAAGCCTGAGAGCCTGGGGACTCGCAAGAACAGAATGAAGCAAAATGCTTCATACTTGCATGAAATGTTTCTCTCCAGCCCTCAAAACCCTTTTCAAAGCATAATTAAGCATTTCAACGTCCCCAAGAGCTCCATGAACAGCAAACGTTTCAGTTCTGCCCATAAAACAAAGCCAAGGAAGTAATTTGGTCGGTTATAGCAAATTTTAAAGACCAAATTGATGCTGAATTTCAAACACCCATGTTTCTGACTTCAACTCTCTATAAAGACAGAAAAGTTACTATAAAAGGCAGGTGACTTAAAAAATCAAATGGAAAATATGTGGATCACCCATTACTCAACCTGTGTATGACAGCCCCTCCCAAAAAATACGTGTTGTAGCCCAAAATGTCTGTGGTGGATTTACCACAAGCACCTGAACTCTGTGCCAGCTGCTGCTCCTGGGACAGCAAAGCTGATTTTCATTTCCCACTTGAAGAAAAATTGATGCAGAAACAGACAAATCCAAACAAGCTCCAAATATTTTTTTAAATGCTAGAAGTTTAAAAAAAAAAAAAGAATCAGCAAAGGGTTATAAGTTAAGAAGTTATAAGTTAGGAAATATAAATAATGTGAGGAAGCCTTTTTTCACTGGTCCAATGAACTCTGAATTCTGACTTTTGTTAAAAGTGAAAAACACAATTTAAAACATAGCCAGCTGTAAAATCAAAATGAACCTTACCTCTGACTGAAAATACATATTTTGGTGCCAAACTTGAAAAGGGCAAGCGAGCCTGTGCCATGGGGACTAGGACACTTCCATATAGGAAGGTATATGGGCATTTTTAAACCTTCCAACTTCTACAAGCCAAAGTCATGACTTACAACGTGACTTACCATAATCTAAATAATACAGACTACAATAAAACATACAATAATAGACTGAAGGGCTTTGAAGTTGTATTAAAAATTATATTTTGGTTACTGCTGCTTAGCAAGAGAACCTGGGAGAGGAAGGCAAAAGTAAAGTTATGTTGTTTTATAGGACCTTTAAAGACCCATGAGAAATTAAATTCTGTGTATACTGTACTGACAATGGCCAAACAAATACAGGACATCTTTAATCAAGAAATATGTAAATGCTCACTAGCAGTTTAATAATCAGGAACTGGGTGAGTGCTCAGTTTAATAAGGTTAATTGCTGACTTCTTTAAAGCCACCTGTCAAGGAATGTGGTACCAAATTCAGCAGTGAAAGTGCAGAGAAATGCTAGAAAAAGGCTCTTCAGCCTGTAATGAGAACTGTAAGGAGACAAGGATGCAGAGAGATACACAGCTTGAATCCCAAGCAGAAAATGACTGACAAGTGGAGGAAATGGCAGCTTTGGGGAATGGCAAAATAAAGAGCTCTGGGTGTAGAAAGAAGGTAATTCTGGCTGTGTGAGACAAGCAGGAAAGCAGCCAGTAGCCACTTATGAAAATAGAAACAGCAGCAAAAACAACTGAAATAAGGGACCTGGGCAACAGCTGAAATATGAAGGCTATGGCAGTAATATTATCATGTCACATCAGCAATATTATCACTTCACCCCCACTGGTCAAAGGAAACAGGACTTTATTTTGCTCAGCCCAAACTCCCGCAGGTGAGTTCAGTTTCCATTTTACAGATAACTAACAAAAACCGACATGCCAGGACACCAGTTTTCTTCCAAAACAAAACCTGGGAGTTCTGAGTCCTGGGAACCAGCTTTATTCACAGGTCAGGACGGTCTTCTCAAAGAGAAAATAAACTCCCACACATACTTGCTTTTGGCAAGGGCAGATTTGGGAAAAACAACAGAATTCTGACACCAGTGAGTTTCATTAATACTCACTTTAGGGCTCATTTGATAAAACAGCTTCATTTCTGCAAAACCTCCTATGCTATTTAATAAAAACCGAGATGATCACAGGTGACAGACCTGCAGGATCAGGTCGGGGGGTGTTCCAGGAGGGAGCTGCACACAGGGGGCTGGAGGTGCCAGGCTCCTTCTCCTCTGTCTCTCCGGGCTCATCCGGCTCACACAAAGGGCACCAAGGTCTGTTTGTTCGTGCCCTCGGATGCTCCCCGGTGCTCACAGAGCACAGTGACTATTTTGTCTTATCAGGCGGCATTTCAAGTTCTTGTCTTTCAAGTGGAAGAGAAGAATCGCATTCCACCGGCCCCGAGCCACTCCTCAAATCGCGGGAGGTAACAAAGCTACCAAGGGCTTAATCCTCTCCGATGCGACTAAATCTGGGGTCAGGGAGCATCGTTCAGTCCCGCAGGCACAATTCAATATTATCTCGCAATTCAATACGATCTCTGCTCTGTCTGCCTACAAAAGTTATCCCTGTCCTGGGCACACCTGCTGACCAGGAGCTGGATTGCAGCCACCGGCTGATTCCCAGGGACCGGAGGGGGATGGAAGCGGCAGTAACTCACCGGATGAAAGTCGAAACATTTTGTACGTGCAGCCTAAAAGCTCAAGGATTAGCGCGTTATCTCCTGGAACTCAGCCTTTATAAAAACGCAGTAATGATTTACCACAGCAGGCCCGGCCGTGAGAGGGTCTCTCCTTCCACGACAGGTTCTCCTCCCAGTCGCAAAAAGTTCATGGAAGTTCGACGAGGATGTGGAGAGCAATCCTTAACGAATCCCTATCTACACTCCAGGACTGTCTAACAGGGAAAATTACACCGCCAGAGCTAATCCCGCCAATAAATTTTCCCCAGAGAAGACAAATTCTTAAACAGCAAACAAAGGGAAAAGGAGGGGAAAAAAAAAAAACCCAACACCCAGCTGTGCTGTAATCTGTTCTCTCCAACCTTTCCCGGCGTGTCCACACCCGCGATTCCGATACATAGTTTGAATTTAACAGGGGGGATGTAGCAGCCATGTTCCTAGGCATGATGCACCAGAAATTTTATTATTAAAGACGTCATGGGAACATTAGTCAAGTTAAACCCCAAAAGAGTAAAAGAGGATGAAATACAAGTACGTAGCGAATAGGAAAAAAAATTAAAAAAAAAAAAAAGGTGCAACCAAACAAAAAACCCCTAATGTAGGAATCACTATTCAGAAGCTATTTTGAAACGGAAATACAGCGCTACTGAAATTACTCTTTTTTTTGCCGTTTTTTTTTTTTTTTTCTGGTACGACGCCACACATACAAAGTTCAAGCTAACGGACCCCGTTCAAAAAATAATTAATAATAATAATTTAAATAATAAAGCCAAGTCAAGGCTAAAATCCACGAGGCTGAGCCAAACCACAGCCAAACCAACCCGCCCGGCCCAGAGCCCGCTCCCGACACCGGCGGGACCCCCCGGTCCCCCCACCCACCCCCGCCAGGCCGCGGGGCCGCCCCCGTCCCCTCCTTACCGGCGCCCCGGGCCGGGCGGGGCTCAGAGGCGGCGGCGCTGCCGAGCGGGCGGGCTCTGCACCATCGTCCTGCCCGGCCGGGGGGGAGAGACCGCTGCCCGGGCAGAGCCCGGGACAGACACACGGAGCCCGGGACAGACACACGGCCGGGCCCGCCCCCGCCGCCGCTTCCGGGGCCGCAGCCGTGACCCCTCACCCGCCAGGCGGGCCGACGGTGGCGCGGGGGGGACAAGATTGCGGCGGCGCCGGCAGCGCGGGAGGAGCCGGCGGCGGGCGGGGCCCTGGCAGCGCCTGCGACCGGGAACGGGCTCGGGAATGGCTCCACGAGAATGGGCTCCACGAGAATGGGCTCCACCGGGAGTGGGCTCGGGAGCGGCACCGAGCAGGAACAGGCCCCGGGAGCGGCTCCGCCGAACCTTGTCGGGGTTCACCGCCTTGTCCCCTCAGGCCGGTGCAGCCCCGCTCCTCCCTCCCTCCCGACACTCCTCGCCTTCTCCAGCCGCTCTTCACCCCCTTTTCCAACAAAAAACTTCCAATAAAAACTACCCAAAACATCTTTTTTCTTTTGTTCGATAGTTTTCTAAAGGTGCCCAATACCTTGAAGGGTTCGGAGTTAAATACTTAAAGCAAAGGGCGTAACAGAAGAAACCGTCATCATAACCGTCATTAATATTTATCATTATAATTATCAGTAATAACAGTAATATTAATATAATGGTGATATAATTAGTATGGTGATGATTATGCTGTTCACAGGAGGATAATGTGAAATCTTTTCCCCGGGAGCTGTAACACACCGGAGTGATTCCAGGGAAGGACATGGATGGTGTGGGGATAATGGGTGAAGGGACAGAGCCGGGCTCTGCCAGGAGTTGGTACTTTAGGAGGGTAAAACTAAATAGTTTCCTGAACTTCGTGCCTTCAAAGATGTCCAAGACAGCCCTGAATTAATGACTACTAGCCACAGTCAATGCCTCCTCCTGCCCGAGGCCTGTGGAAGGCAGGAGGTAGCACAGTTGGCAGCCTCTCAGACAGCAAAAAATCATCCTGTAAAAAACACCAGTCCTGTACACACCTGGCTGCAGATCCAGGACAAGGACGTGTTCACCTCTCACAGGATGCCCAGATGAAGTGTCCAACTGTCGGGTCTCCTGTGGCAGCCACTCGAGCGTCTGAGCCTCCGAGGGTCAGATGGAAAAACGCTCCTTGTGCCCCCAACCCTCTTAACCCCCGTTTCCAAACCGCTGTTCAGCAGCACCAGCTGTACCAGCATCTGCCACTGCCTCCCTCCCCAGCCACAGGAGAATATACCCCAGAGCACTTGTAAACACTGATGATAACTGGGTAGAAGAAATCAATTTAATTTCGTAACTCGGTTGTGCGGAACCAAAGACACCGCACAGTTTAATTAACCAGCATTTCCTGTAAAATATCTTCTTTACTGAACAAAACAGTAAAGAAGTATTTTACAGCGTAAATTCTGATTCCCAAGGATGAGCTGCAGTCTTTGTTTTCAGTGATACTGAACTAGCAGTGGGCTGTTGAAAAAAACCCCAATACTATGACTCACCACAGCACAGCACCTGTATTCCAATTCACTGGAAGAGCATATTTCAGTTAAACTCAGTTTCACAAGTAACTTGTTCATGGATACAATTCCATAATGTTTTGCAGAACAGGGGTCTCTCACTGTCTTTTACTCAAACTCTGCAATTCATCAGAGCACCCCTCTACTACAGCCCTGCCCAGGGATTACTACTAGGAGGAAATCACTCCTGCTTTCTGACTGCTAAGTAAGGTTTGGAAATCCATCTTACCTGCCCGATTTGTTTGCTGAAAACATTCCCCCTTTAGTGGCTTGATAACAAGAGGGCATATGCATAAAAGATACTTCAGTTACAAATGCACCAGTAAATCCTTAAGTGCTTAATCACTACAACGACCTTTCTGCAAAGGAAAAAAAAAAGACTTACCCAGACTTGCACTTGAATGGCTGAGAATTGCTGTCTTCTGAATCACAGAGAATGCAAAAGCAGCCCTAATTATATTCACATTAATCATTAACAGCATAACAAAACCCGGGTGAAGAGGTTTTCAGGAACTCATTAACAAGGGCATAATGTACACACTTTTATTTAAACATGGTAATTTACACAATAGCTAAAAGTTTGCTTTCCCCCCACCCTGCCTCAGGAAAACCTGTGTACCTGGATATCAGAATTAGCACCTAGTGTTTAAAAACTAAAGCCTTTACAGTATTATTTACTGCAAGCACTGGTCAGATCCGAAGCAATTTGGGCGCGGTGACACATGGATACACTGAATAATTGAAATCTCAATTTAATTTCTAGTGAGCTCATTGCTGCACCTCAGCAGTGGTGCTTTGGGGAGCTGGTTATCTGGAACACCAGGGATGCATAGTTTATAAGGATAAATACATCTGACAGGAAGGGACAAATCACAGTCGTGGTCTGAAATTATTGCAGTGCAAATTTAATAGAGCAGTGTTTTAAAGCAGTGGAACTTAATAAAAGAGGTAGGTACTTTCCTCCTTGATGGTAAGAACTTAACATTGCTTAAAAGCAGCTCCATGTTCAATATCTCAGGTACACAAAGGAGTCACGGCAGAACTGGATTAGCTGGAAGATACTTCAAATGATATATAAAATGTTTCACTGGCATAAAAAAGTTATATTGCAAGAGGTTACTTTTTTTGGGGAGTGAGCTGTTATTCTTGAAATACACGGATCTAAACTTTTAGTGACACAAAGCCATATGTACCTTGATGGTCAAGGTCAATCCCTTTGCTAAAGGGGTAACTAAAGATCAGAAGACTGATGTTTCATGAAAATAAAGTGCATTTTTCTGCTCATGCTTCTAAAAAGCAACCTCTAATTATATGAACTTATTTATCTACCAGGATTGTCACAAAAGCAACCAAGACTTATCCCACTTGGAAATGACCAGGCAAAGCCAGAAGAGAAAGCCACTTTTGGTGCAATTCTTGCATGATCTTCTCCCCTCCCACCTCTTGTTCCACATTATGTAATTTTTTAATACTAATACTCCTTCCTGTTTCTGAAGCCTGGCTCCACATTCTCTTCCAAACAGTAATATCAGCACTTTTGGGCACCACTCAAGGCTACCAGGTGTCCTGACAAAGCAGGGAGAAGGTTTACATGAAGGGAAATGTCATTTTTTAAATAGCACTTTTCCTTTTTTTACAAAGCAGATTGAGTGTCAAGTTTTCAAATCATTACAACAATATCCTCTGCAATTCATCAGTTCTCCCATCCAGCTTATCCAAATACTAACAGTGTTTTTGCCTTTACACTGCAACATGATGTAAGTGAAAGGTGCTAAAATGAACACTTTTAGATCATTTTCACTCATACACAAGCTGTCATGCACAGTTGAGACATCAGGTTTTAAATCTATTTACAATTTTACATATTTTACAATATATATTTCATCTTTACAGCTACAGAATGAATTCAAACTAACATTGGTACCTTTTGAGTTTCTGCTGGAACTCGGATTCAGGTTAAACTAATCATTAAAAACGAGTAAGTGCATGCTTAGAAGGAAGCTTTCAGGAAAGATGTCAATGGACTAGTGTTGCTTAAAAATTACACCAGTTTGTGTAGAAAATTTAAATTCAGTTCAAAAACCCACAAAAGCCTAATAGAAATCTACTCGACTAAAATAAATACAATTCATTACACTTAACAAAAAGAAAAATGTACCTTTAAAAATGTACTGATTTAAGCTCGTCTGATTTTTAGCGTTAAATTTATTTCCCTTCCCAAGTAGCAGATAGTACTAGGTGAGGATAATGCTGCTTTTCAGAGTTAACACTGATAATTATCCTGCATAAACCTGAGGCTGCAGTGGTGGGGGCAGCTTGTCATTCTCCACATTTTCAGAGTCAATGGCTGCTAAGGCTTGACTTTTTGGTTTTATTTCTAACGGATATTTCTCAACAATATCTTCCACTTCCTTTGTGATTCCATCAGTCCAATCTATTAGGTCTTTCTCAAGTTTCTTGGCTTCACTGACAATTCTTTCCTGTCTCTCATTCAACTGAGAGAGGAGGTCTAAGCTTTTACACATCTGTTTAACCCCCAGGCACACGTCAGGGGAGAAGCTGTCGGATTCCTGCTTCTTCGGGGACGTCTGACCCGTCATGAAACGATCGAAATCTTCTTGGCTTAGATTTAGAGACTGAGCATCCAGCTTTTCAATGAAGGCCACAGCACAGCACTGCAAACAAAGCAGAGAGAGATCACTGCAAGCCACAGACTGGAATGTGTGTGTTCTATTCTCGATCCTGCTGTTAGACCAGTAACTGGTTATTTCTTTTTAATGCCCCAGCAGATTGATCTTTTCCAGAAGTTCACTGTACCAAACAGTTCATATGCCTCTTTCCTCTCCCCAAAGTCTGAAGAAGTCAAAAACTCGGTTGAACAGCACTGACTCGCTGGGCAATGTACATTCCAAACTTCAGGGTCACCTCAGGGTGTTTGGGAGGTGGGAGAACAGAAGGAACACAACAACAAGACAAGAGCACTAAATTAATATTTAATAATCTGATCAGCAGAGATCTGCCATGCTCTTAATATTCTGAAGGAAGCAATGTCAAATCCCCATCTCATCTTGCGGATTCTCTGCTCCTACTAAAATGAACTTTTAATATTCCAAGTATTTCATTCAACTACATAATTTCCCTCACAAATTGCTTTATGATGAAATGCAGAGCACACCAATAAACGCCTCTTGCAGGAGCTTTAAAAAGCCTGTTTACCTCCACAAATTAATGGCCTAGTTCTGCAGCCCCTTCAAGAGAAAAATCTCATGGGCTCTTGCAAGTAGGAAACTTTGCATCTGTAACATCTGCACTGTCCAAACTTGGGATTTTAGGAATAGAAAGGACTTATTTCCTGGCAGAATGAAAATACACCACAGTCTTAGCATCAGACTGTTCAAACGAAGGACTTAATATTATAAAGAAAGAAAAGCACTTCCTGGTTTGGAAAGCAGAAAAGGAGGAGATAAAACACAGCAGAACTGGCTGTACTCGAAGTAACCTCAACCACCATTTTAATTTTTTTTCTACCTTATGTTATGTTTCCCTTCACTGGCAATTCCTACATCCAAATAAAAG